CAGAGAATTCCACATATTCAGAATCTTTAACAGCCTCCGGGGGTATAGCGACTTCTAGCGAAGCTTTCTGTGGCTCCTCCAAATTTAAGAAAAGGGCATGATTTTTGTATTCGGTGACACCTTCAGCTTCTACTTTTAATTTTTTATGTATAGCATCGCTGGCCAGCGAAGTAATGGCTTCAATTTTTAACATTATATCTCCAATTACCTGCGGACGTATTACAAAAGATATATTTTGACTGCTGTTCGGGGACACCATTACTTTCTTTGCTCGTCGTTGGGTAATTAACAAAGAATTTTCAATTTCTTTTGAAACATCGGTAAATTCATACTCTCCATCCGTATTTGCCATAACGATTTGGGCTTCTAACGTATTATCGAGGTAATTGAAAATAACGACTGGTATTTCAATAACTTCGCCTCTTTTTACAGAATAAGGCAAATTTACATCAATGAAGAATGGTTGAAATACCTTAATCTTCAAGGGATTCTCAGTCATTGTAAAACCGGTTTTCGTATTTATCGCAAAAGCGCTTATTATCCAAGAAGTCATGCTATCAGGTATGGACTTAGTTAATGTCATGTTTGTTGTATTATCATTACTGTAAAAGATGCAATGGAATAATACGTTAATTAAATTCATATTAAACTTTGCCTATACATTATCTACTAATGCCACGTGAAAGTTGTTAGTTATGGCGCTTAGATGATATCTAATCGTGAAAGTGTGCCTAAAATTAGTACATAAATGAAATGATTTATGTGTAAATATGTTTTATAAGGCAATGCATTCTAATCCTTGCGATAGCTATTAATTTATGACCTTTAATGCTTTTAATCAAAAAACAATTTTCTAATAGCTTTTGCTTACGCCTTCTTGTGAAGCTTTGCTGCATATTTATATAGTTAAGCGAAACATTAAACTTGTCGAGAAATGTCGTAGTAATTAACGTTAATATGGCCAAGGAAGAAAATTATTTTCGGCCGTGACTGAATATTTTATGTCCATTGCCGTTATCGGCTGTATATCGTCGCGACGTCCGCGATATTTAATTTAGAATTAATGCACTTATCTTGTCGTGTTCTACTTTCCAATTACTTTTATTTGATACCCAATTCACCAGACAGTTCAGAAAAAACTAATGCCCCACGTTGTGGAGTCCATCATATTTATGGAATGTGGAATTAACACACTTTTAGATTGTTGGATCTGTTGTAGTTTATAAATAACAAGCTCGTTTATATTTTTTAAACCAGAGTGGGCTCAGATTGTGTTGTGTCGTTGTCATGTCCGTTGACCAATTGGTCCAATTTTCAACAGGAACTTGCGTGCAAGAACATTCAATGTTTTTGCGTAATTTGAGACCGATAACTTCTTTTTTGCGACCGGGCGGGTCGCAACATTACATTATACCGGCAGACGCGCAGGCCGTCGGACAGAACGTCATAATCGTCTTAAATTGGTTTAGAATTTGCTATTGATCGAGAGTATATACAGTTTATTGCATTTCTGAAGCTTTCTTATGAATGTTGCAAACGTTTTGGCAAAATGAGTGCACCGCTCAGCCTTCGATGATGGGTGAGATAAATTTTTTCTCTTTTTTGACTAACAGCATATTATCCCGAAGAAAAATCATATTTTGATGGAAATAAACGAAAGGAATGAAACGTATGTATTAACATGAACTTTACTTATCAATATCCTCAAAAAACCAAACTTCGTCAAAATTTTTTCGAATTCTTTGGACGAAAACCTCTTGGGCGGGAAGAAATACTTGACACTGTACACCCTGTGAATATAAAATACAACGTCCATCTAATTCTGGAAAATATAAAGAAAGAACTTGAAATATTTTTAGTTTACATAAAAAAAAGCGCGAATTTTTATTGCTAAAATGATAATATGTTAAAATGGATATTGCTTACGTAAACAAATTATTTTGCAAATTTAGCAGAGATTACAGTCTTCAGTAGTTTTCAATTACAAGCTACCAGACGCAAAGAACATGATTTTTTTTTTTTTTTTTTTTGTATATGTACAGTGCTAATTCATGCCTTTGCTTAACCTAAAGGATTAATATCATCCTGTGATTTCTTCTTGCATTTCTGTACCCATCACCGAAGAATAAGAGGCCTACTCAAGTTATCAAAATCTTTGCAACGCCCAGAAGAAAATTTCTAAGACCGCACAAAGTAAATAGTAAATAGTCTTGATCAGCATCAAAATCTGACATAATTTAAGCATGTCCGTCTGGCCGTCGGTCTGTCTGCATAATGACAGCTGTGAACATTCCCCTGGTCGCAAAAACTAAGCGGTCGACTTGAAATTTAAAAAAAATATGGAAAATATTAATATAGAAAATGGGCCAAAAATCGGTCGAAGAATGCACCTGCTGTTCTCCACTACTTATTTAAAAAACCATGACAGATAAATTTATAAAAACTTTAATATGTATTTTCAGGACGATGCTTTAACATCCATATAAAAAATTGACCACGCTTACTCACTATGACAATCTTTGCGCAGAAGAACGGTTCTGAAACCCCAAGGAAGTTTATAAATTCTTGGTCAGTTTCAAATTCGGCGTGCACCAAATCATGCCCCTCTCTTCGTTTGTCCATCTATCCATCTGGCCGATTATGTAATATCTATGATAAACATTTTCGCGTTGGCAAATTCGCCTGCAAACTTGCAAAGGAATTTAAAAATGACCTAAACCAAACCAAGGATATCCCTATAGCGCCACACGCGTATACAACAAATATTATGAACCCTTTTGCTTCTGTGCTTTTTGCTTGTTACCCATAAAGTACAACGTATAGACCATACAAATTTCTCCACTTTTATTCTAAAAATTGAAAAAAATAGCCACTCCCATCAAATATTATAGAGTATGAAAATTTTCCTTTTTTTTAATATCTTTCACGATGGCCGCGACGGGTATAAAAGATTCGCTCACGACCGAATATAATTTTTTTACTTGTTTTTATTGATTTGTACATTACCTATATTTTCCAAAGGCAAACAAAAAGAGTAGACCTACATAGCCCAAAATTAGTAGTAGCTTATGTTTATGTCAAATCCCTATTATGGACCAATTTTTATTACAAAATTTTATGGCGAAATTTTACTCAGCAATTCTGTCCAAAAATTTTGAAGATTTTTTTATGTACAGGGTTTTTCATAACAAGGCATTATCTCATAAGTGGTCGTAGAAATGGTTCTCCTAAATATTATGTGCGCCCGAGAAAACTTATCCTGCCTTGAACCAAAAGTAGTAGCACCGATGTAAAAAATGATCGGATCGCCACATTTTAAAGGGCTCGAAAATTCGATTTTCATGAAAAGTGAGCTAAAATAAAAAGCAACTGAAGATGAGACCACTTTTGAACACAACCTTGCTACAGCTGTGCAAGATTTGAAAGCCAACAAACCGTCTGAAACCTTAGATGCTCTCTTCTCGAAGTCAATTTTTACTGTTCCTTTTCTTAATTTTTGTTGCTAGGTGCTTTAATTTGTCCGCCCTAACTATCAGCTCCAGCTTTGGAATAATGTTCTCTAGTGAGTTTTGTTGGCTTTTTTCAATAAATTAAAGTTTGCCAAATCTATGGTCTATCTTCGACTCGCATTTCTGAAAGAGAAATAAAATCAAACCTGCAGGTCTGGAAAATAATCGCCAATCCGGAGAAGGTCCCAGCCCAGGTTGAAAATCAGGTCCCGGATTACCTTTCCTAGATATGTACGGATGGGCGGACGTATGCGAATATTATTGCCCTCAAAACTAAAATTTTTTGCACGAGGGCACCAATATTTCTAGTATGCATAATTTCGGAAAAGAATGAATGCATCAGTTACCTTTCAATTTACAGAGTGTACTTGCACCCCTAATAGTTAGAATTTCTATATAATATTTAATCTATTTATTTACTTATATTAGATTTTAATGAAACTTACCTTGATAAGGTAATTGAGCATTTGTATGTATTGCTAAGCCAGACGTCTTACCCGGATAGGGAGAAAAACCAAAATTAGTATTGTGATGTCTTAAATTATTTAATATTGTATCCCGTTCGAAGTCGTTGCCACTCTCTAAAAGCAAAGTCCTTTGGTCAACGCCCAACAAACCAACAAATGAATTCGAAGCGGTTTCGATATCCAAACTTACTTCTTGTCCAGGCTTCGCTTGCAGAGGACCTGTTACTTTTATCTGCATGAAGTGATGTGATATGATAATGTAATAAACTATTTTATGCTTCAAATAACTTAATTGCTTTAATTTAAAATTGATTATAAATCGTCTGTTACACGTTTGAGATTTAATTAAAATATCGTTTGATATCGCTTATGTGTGCCCATGTATGTGCATAAGCGTGCGAGTATTATCTTGTTCAAAAATTTTAACTGTTTCACTTATTCGTGCATTCAACTAAAAATCATCGTTGTACGCACCTTTACACTGGTGTATTCTTATAGAATTATTTGCACTGCAGATAAACACAATGGAAAAAATTCCCCGTTGAAATGTTGAAAACACTAAATACATTTCGGTTTGATCCCTTAATAACATTTTGTCTAAAGCTTACCTACACATGGGCTTTAAAACGTCATCAAGCGAGCTAAATGAATTTAACTTACACTGTTTTGAAATTCCAGTTCAAAGTCAATACTGATTTCTTGATATTTGAAATCACTCTTATCCACGTAAAAAACGAACACATCAGCGCGTGGAATCATTTCGAATGTAACTTTAAAGTTGATTTTATAAAAATTCGCCGGCTCAGGCAAAGTAATGTAAGACATTTGTAGAATACAACCACGACCAACAATTATATATGTCAAATGGGTCATCATATTAGGTGCTTTTACACTTACAGACGCGTCGTCACCTATTCGTGGCCTAGAATCTCAATAAGGTTTATGTTTAACACACAGTCGCAGTCTATACATTTCAAAAGTACCTTTCAGTGTTTAATATAAGAGTCAGTTCTTCTCTTACTTCTGCTTGAGCTTGAGCTAAAGTTGTGTTATGTGATTTAGCCATAATACACGGCAAAATTTTGACTTTATCCATAAATTTAAGTTCGCCCAGATAAATGCCACCATTGTGCAAATTGACTTCAAACGTTCCCACACCATTGTCATCTAAAGAACTTTCAAATATTTGCGATTCTTCAGGTTCTCCCCATCCTCTATAATACTTAAGAAAGATTGGATCCTTTGCATTCCGGACGGGACTGCCATTTAAATATTCAACAGCTGCCTTCACTTCAAACGGTTCATTGATTTGAAATTCGATCACTGAGTCGAGCATTTTAATAACGTATTGAGAGCTATGGAGTTTTATATCGATGGTATTACTTTGCCGATTTCCGGTTAATTCCTCAGTTACTATAGCGAAAATTGTCATATTTTCGCCTAAAGATTTCCAATTCAAGTCTTTGTGCAAAGTGAACTCCACTTCTCCTTTACCATTGATATCAATGATTTTCTCGAGATTTAAATATAATATGGTTACGATAGCTTTGCCTTTGACCGGTTTGCCGTATGTGTATTTTGCAGTAACTGACACTTTTAAGGAATCCTCACTTATAGCCAAATCTTTAACGGTGTCTATATCCACACTGAACCTCGGTAGCACATATTTAATGACTTTAAAGTTCTTCTCTTGTCGTGCGTCCTTCCCTAAATCAACCTCAATTGTCCATTGACCTAATATTGGCTGTTCAGTCAATTGAAATCTACCACTATAAACGCCTTTAGTCAAGTGAGAAACTTTAATTTCTCTAATGTAATTATTCGCTGCATCTTTAATTGCCACTCTTAGAGGGCTTTCCAATTTCACTGGCCGAATATTCTCATCCAAAATTAAAATGCGATATTGTACTAAATCTCCGGGTTTATATACGGCTTTATCCGTTTGTATATATATATTTGGTTGATTGGTATCCATATATAAAGCGGTAGACTTTTCAATTTGTAAACCTTCGACGCCCTTAGAAGTTAGTTGATATAAACCATCGCATAAGGCAGGTACATCGAAATCTATTTGCTTGTTTTCCATTGAAGATAAATTCACAATTTTAGACTGATTGAATGATGGACCAGTAACACTTATGTCCAAAGTAACCGTTGTCTGGGCATTATGTAAAGTAACACTAACCGGAAATTTCTGATGAGAGCGTATGGTCTCAGAAGCCACAATAGTATAAATTCTGCAAAAAAAAAAAAAGAATTACATTAAATGTTTTTGCAAAACTGTGCAAATTTATTTCGTTCAAAATAGCGGAGAAGCCTTTATGTAGCAATAAGATCTAAGCTCTCGATACTTTATGACAAGACAGGTAAAGATTTCTCTAAGCCGAAGCGGCTTGTATTGCTTGTATATAACGTCTTAACTTGAAATTCGTGCAAAGCCTGGGTGCAGAAGTTCAGCTTTCTGTCTGAATTTTTTTCAAAATCTGGGTACATTTTATCTTCAGTAGCATTTAAACTTCTTCTTAACAATTTCAAAAATAACTTTTCCATTATTGAAACAAGTAACGAAACTATATACGGTTGTGGCTGAATCTTTTATATCCCCTAAGTTCATCTTAAAAAAAAAAAAGCGAAAACGAAAGAAATTTCACTTCTCTATAATAGTGGACGAGCGTGGCGTGGACTTTTTCTAGTCTTATCTATACACTCATGGAGTGTACATAACGTCTTTTATCGTTGAATCTTCTGTAGTTTATCAGCGATGAGGAAATAATGAGGTCTTTCTTTTTGGTCTTGAAAAGGGATGTGTTTTCTAACAGTTGTGCTAAGTCTGAAACGGGGAAAGTGCCTAGCACACACAGGGGCCATTTCTAGGGCTTGTTATTTCACTCTCCAACTTTTCGCGCTGCAAAAAGGAACTGAAAAGTTAGAACTTGGAATTTATGTTTTAAGGCACCAGCCAATCATTGTAGAGGTACATCAACAGTCGAAACAAAGGAAATGCTATAAAGGTTCCCTAAAGTACGCATATTCTTAAACAATGAAAACAGCGAATTCTCTTCTGTTCGATTGTCATAAATAATGTGCTTTGTGCGTATAATCAAGACTACGTTTTTTGATCTTTCCCCATAAATTTTGCAACGATCTTAGAATCTCGTCTTCTGCTCTTTTCTCTTCTTGTACCCGCCAGGGCAAGGTGAACGTTCTCAAATTGTTTGCGGCCTTTGGACATATATATAGTCTTGGTCAGCATCCCATTTTGAATCTCATTTATCTGTCTGCGTCAATTCTATGGTAAACCTTCCTCAGGTCAAAAAAAAAATAAAGCGGTTGGCTTCAAATTCTTCGAAAACATTTTTTAGTTCTTTCACACAGACTGGTATTAAAGACGAGTCAAATCTGTCCTAGACAGCACCAACAGTACACCGTAACCTAAGGCCGCTTCTGTTTTCAAAAAGACAAAAGTTTTATGTTTTGTTTATTACTTGTGAACCACAATAATTATCCAACTATTTGCACAAAAAATCGAAATCATCAGTCACGCCCATTGAAATTGACGTTTTTGGTTTTCCTTTTATATATATTTAGGATAAAGGTGATGGGTGCAAGAGGGATTATAATATACAACGAATGTAATTTTCATATGAGCTTATCAATGGATCGATGTATGTTTCTCGACTTATCGAATCTGTAATGCATGTGAGTGTAAATGAAGTGAATGCAAAGAGGAACAATTAAAATTTTACTCTCCTCTGAAGTTTCACAATTTCACCTAAAACAGTTTGATGGATGATGTTTTGTGTATCAAACTTTTGACTGCTTAATCTTAAATCCAATTTAAGTCTAATAAAAGCTATCGCGTTAAGCTTTTTATAAGCTTCAAAGCTCAAATGAGTAACTTTTATGTTTCTTTCTCAACTTCTTTATCTTTCTTCGCTCAGCTTTATTTGTAACAACTGCAAACAACTTGAATTAGTTTTGTACCTGATTTCTGGCAAATAACAACAGTAGTTAATAAACAGGTGAAATAACGTGCATCTAAAGCGACCTAAAAACGCGCATTATTGAGAATAATTTCGTTTAACAACGGGAGCGTTCGTAAATTGCAAAAATAGGAAAAAAACATCCCACACAACAGTGCAATAAATATACAAACTAATATGTAATCGATGACTAAGATGTAATAAAATAAAAATTGCGCAAAAAAAAAGTGTAAAACAAATTCAAGTGTGAGGCAGCACGAATTTATTAATAAAAAAATTTAAGAAATTTAAAATTCAATTTTAAATGAATTATTTTCTGATAAATAAAAAAATAACAAAATAAAACAAACAATGCTTTATATAAAATATAGTTCACTGACATTAATAATAATAATATTGGTGCATTTTTGTGCTGGTCAAGGGTCAGTAAAATTTTGCTTTTTTTCTTTTAATATCATTTTGTTTCGTATTTTGTATTTGTGTATGTGTGCGAAAACAAAATCTCGACAAGGCAAATATACTGTAACGTTCACATGTTAGCAGTTGCGGTTGGCTTGTCAAAAGCAAATGATCTCATATTCGTAAGAATCCAGTTTCAATTTCTACCAAAGTAAATTAACAAACGCATTGGGCCAATCAAACAAAAGACTTAAGTAACAAACTTTTTTTTTCTTAATTGTTAATGCTTTTAAAAGTGGTTTATGGTGGTGTTTACACAATCAGCAATAATTGTTTTTCTCCGTTGAATGTTTACTCAGGCGCGCACACACATACATACAAATACTTTCAACAATTGTATGAATGAGAATCGTTAAAAGCATATAAGAAATGAATTCTTTAAGCATATATATGTACATACTACTTGAATATTCTATGTGTATATTTGTATGAAACCGTCTACAACTACTTGAGATTTAAATTGATCTGAAGCCTACGCTGATTGTTGTGGCTTGTCATTTCCCCTAGTTTACCTTGAAATGTTGATTTCGTATTTATTTTTATTTTTATTTCTTTTTTTTTTTTTTTTTTTTATAACCTCACCTTAACGAGAGCATATGCGCTCGAAACGCGAATACAATGCATGTAACACATAAAAGAGATCTAGTTGAAGATGATTGAAATGTTTGTTCGTCTTTCTTAAAACCCAACCGATTCGAATGAGATTTTATTATTGTTGGATTAGTAAAAACAAAAAATCCATCTGTTGACGCTACACGCGAAATTTAGATTTTTCCGAA